GCGCGGGGGGCGCGGGGGGCTCGGGGCGCCGCAGCCTTGTGCCCGAGGCCGTGCGGCGTGGGTGCAAATCCTGGCGGCTGTGTTTCTCCGGGCAGAGGCCACGCGGGGACGGAGGAGGCAGAGAGGACAGGCAGTGATGGAGAAACGGGAGAGGAGCCGGCCAGCGTCACCATCACCATCACCGCCACCATCGCCTCCACCATCACCATCACCATCACCACCATCACCATCCCCATCCCTGCCCGTCGCCCATCCCAGCTGCCCCGGACCTCCCCTCCCTTCTCATCTCCCCCCTGTCACGTCAACTTTACCAGATTATTTCCTTTTCCTGGGTGATACTTTGAAACGGCGACAGCGTGCTCCAAATTAGGAATAAGTACCTCTGCTGTGGGACATTCGGGCGCCTCTCCTTTGCCCGTTCGCGACCTCAGTTTTCCCATCAGGAAAAGGACCACAGGGGTGCTCCGTTCCTCACAGTCAGCCTGTGATGGCCGGCAAGCTTTCGGTTTTTCTAATCTGGTGCCGGAAAGGGTTTTAGAGATTACATTTTTTCTCTCTCATATGGTGAGAGAGATGTTCATATGGTAAAGTGGTATTTTCACTGGGTTAAATAACCCGGAGTTTTCAGTTCTCCTCTCCTTTGATTATTGAATGGCAAAATGCCAGTAGCAAATAGAAGCTAAGGAAAATGAAACTTCGACTAAAATCATACCAAGAATAGAAGCAAAACAGGTATGTCTGTAGGAAAATCACCCGAGACGGCCGAACGCAATGACTTTCGTCTCAAGTGCAGAAAGTGCCCTTTTCGTGGGTAGCGGTTGTAGATGTCCTTATTTGGGATGCATGTAGTGGCCCCTAAGTGCTTTGCACCCTACCGGAAGAATGTTTAAATTGCTGTGTTTCAAAGCTGGCACTCACCTGGTCCAAGGGACTGCTGAGCCGTGGGAGCAAATATCAACCCAGCCAGAGGGATTGTTGGGAAGCCCAGCCCGACAGAGCACAGGGATCTTCTTGTGAAAAGCACCTTACGGAGCTCAAGATCCTAAACGCTCTGCATTTTGGCCCACTAGGGCGAAAAAGGAGTCTTGACCTTTCCGTGTCTTACATTCTAGTCCGAGAAAGGCAGCTAGACGGTCCTAAATTGCTTGGTATGCTAGGACAGTCAGCGTGGCAAGGTTCCTGTTAAACAGGGTGATGAGCCACACGTGTGGTTTGCCCTGGGTCCTCTCCTACTCGGAGAAAAAGAAAAGTGACCGTCTTAACAATAATGTGGACGCAACTGAGCAGTTTTCGTAGCCCGAGTTAAAATACCTCAAATGTTGGGGCGCCTGGGTGGCGCAGTCGGTTAAGCGTCCGACTTCAGCCAGGTCACGATCTCGCGGTCCGGGAGTTCGAGCCCCGCGTCGGGCTCTGGGCTGATGGCTCAGAGCCTGGAGCCTGTTTCCGATTCTGTGTCTCCCTCTCTCTCTGCCCCTCCCCCATTCATGCTCTGTCTCTCTCTGTCCCAAAAATAAATAAAAACGTTGAAAAAAAAATTTAAAATACCTCAAATGTTGAAATATAATTGTACGTCATTAACTTAAACCTGTCTAATTGGGGAAATGGGGCTTTTTAGTATATGTGATTCTGTGGAGAGTGACTTTGAAGTTATCTGCCTTTCTAAAAATACTTCAGGGCCTCAAACTTAAGTAAGGCGGAGTCGATTGAAAGCAGTGACATTTTTAGAACAAAGACTTAAAGAATTCCTTCACCGTGTTTTTAGTTCTGGATCTTTGGGAAATATTAGCATCCTAAGGAACTTCGATGCCCTGGGTTGTTGCTGAATTCTGGTCTTACACCCACGTGACCTGTTTTAACCCCTGTGAATTTTGATATCCCCATATGAATTATACCACAATTTTAAAATAATTCATTTCTTTTATTGAAGTCTGATTTACGTATGTGCAATGCATCGCTCCTTACTGTACAGCTTGGTGAATTTTTACCTATGTTTACCCTGTATTATATATGTTTATCTATGTTTACCCTATATTACCTCTGACCTGAACAAAATACAAAATATTTTCACCATCCCGGAGTGTCCCCTCATGTCCCTCCCAGACATAACTGCTCGTCTGACTGCTCTCAACATACAAAAAATAATTTCTTTTAAATTTCCCCCTGTTAAATCTGGTTGGCCTCTCCCTTCAGCAGTGATGACCAAATCCAGGCCCTGGGCCCAGCACTGTGTAGGCATGAGCCTTCTCCTGGAGAGCAAAGAAGGCAGATAATTAAACGGGCAGGGGTAATACTGTATACGCAGATGCAGAAGGTCATAGAAACTCAAGGCAAGCCATAGCCCAGTTTTGGGGGCTGTTCTATTTTGTTTCGTTTTTATGAGAGGAGCAGGGAAGGCTTTTTGGAGGATGTGAATATTTCAGTTGGGAACTGAGAAATGAGTAGAAGGTAGTCAGCTAAAACATGTAGGGGGACGAAAAGGAAGGAGTATTCCAGGTGGAAGGAAGTATCATGAGCCATGGCTCAGAAATGAGAACGCACGGCGTATTCAAGGAACAAAAACAAGTCGGAGAGGACGGAAGTACAGGGTTGGGGAGAAGCATGGGAGATATAGCTGGAGAGGCAGTAGGGAGCCAGTCGGAAAGACTAAGGCCATGGGGAGGGGTTGGGCTTTGCTCTAAGGTCAAGGAGAGTCGCTGGATAGGCTTTAGTCACAGGTGTGCAGAATGAGATCTGATCTCTCAGCTGACTGTGTGGTGCGGAGATTATAGGAGGGGCCCGGTGGGAGGCTGCCATGGGCATCCAGGTGAGAGGGTGCGGTGGCCTTGACTAGGCAGTGGCAATGAGACTGGGGGGGAAATGGATGGACCTGACACACAAGGGTTCAAGGATGACCTTTGGGTTTCTTAGATCTCACAGAATGGGTGGATGATGGTACCATCAGAAATACGGGGGAAGACTCTAGCTTGTGTAATACTCTTCTTTGATATATTTCTTTCCAAATACATTTAATTTCCGTTGCTAGTGAGCCTGTGGAACTTTCAGGTAGAAATATCTACCAGGAAGTTGTAACAGATATTTATCGGGCGCTTTCTACATGCCAGGCACACTCTGGTCACTTGGGATGCACTGTGAGCAAGACAAGGCACCGTGCCCTTGCAAAGCTCACGTTATATCAGGCCCGAGCTGCAGCCCGGGGTCTACCAGATGTACGCAGTTAACTGAAGGCTTCGGAGTCAAAGAGGTTGCTCAGGAAGATTTCAGTGAAAAGACAGAAGCCTGGCATAGCATCCTGAGGAAAACTAGGATTCTAAAAAGGAGAAGGCGAGATGGCAGGCATTCAGAGTTCTGGGGAGCGGTCCCCGGCATCACACACAGCTAAGAAGGAAGACAAGGACTAGAGGTGTTCTGTCATGGTGCTTCTCAAGGTGGGGTCCCCAGACTAACCACAGAAGCAGCAGCACCCAGGAATTTAGAAATGCACATTCTTGGGTTGCACCCCAGACCTACTGAATCTGAATCTGAAACTCCGAGAGTGGGTCCCAGCCATCTGTGGTTTAACCGGCCTTCCAGGTGGTCCTGATGTACATTGGAGTTGAGAACCGTCGCTCTGTTGCATTCGTCGATAAGGAAATCATTGGTGACTGGAGAGCGTGGCGAAAACAATTTCGTTGAAGTTATAGCCTGTTTGGGGTAAATTTTAAAAAATGTACCAAGAGTGTTAAACCTTGCCTTATTTTTTATTTCGAATCTCCAGTGTTTCACTGACTTATTTTTTTGTGTGTTTGAATGTGTCTCTTTTATGTATTAGTTGGTAATGGATTCCTCTTTTGTCTCACTCTGTTCTACATGATTTCTGAAGTTCTGTTTTTATCTACTTTGAGACACATCCCTTTATGGGCTCTCAACATGTTAGGCCACCTGCATCATTGATAATTGGTTTGCTGCCCTCAACTCTGAAATGGAGGAATTAAAATACCAAAAACAGAGTGCAATCATGAAGATAAGTGAGTCTCGACTCTGAATGGCAGCCGAAAAAACACCTAGATGCTTAAATTAGCTCTTCCAAAAAGTTCCAAGGCTCTATCAGGGATATATGTCTAATTATTTGAACTTGTTACTCATGTGAAGTAATTGGAAGTGTGCCCTTTTCATCTAAAGTGATCCAACAACATAACCATAATTATTGTACTTCCAACGCACTTAAGAAGGAGAGGACTCTTATTAACTAGGTCTTTTCCTGCTTCTTTTGTTGTTATACGCCTGAGTATTTTGTTTCATTTGACAGGAGGAAGTAGAGCACATTACTATGTTTTGCTACCATCAGGGAAAATCTGTGTAGATTTTCAAATCAGAGGAAATAGATGTAGACATTACTCTTATTGCTACCTCAGTTCACAGGGAACACTTTTCATTTTATAAGAATAAAAACTGGTGGTTTTTATTCCAGTGCTTTGTATAGTGAGTAAGGAGCACAGAGGACGTCTCCAAATATTGACTGGGTGGATGAATGGATGGGGAAGTGGCTAAGTGGTTGGATGGATCAGTGGATGGATGGGTAGATGAATGCAAGGACGTGGATACATGTTTGGAA